AGCAGCATTATTAGTAAATCATACTGTCAGTAACATTGTGAAACATTATCATATTAATTTACTCTAGGATGGAATTATGATGTACCACGTTCTACACTTATATCAGCCAAATTCTTCGGTTGAAGTTTATTCTCTGCAATAACCTAATTCATTACTTCAATTTTTTGTCCCCTTTTTATTGAAGAAAGAAGATACTTGAATGAAGTCTTAAAAAGAATTTTGTCATTAAACTTATGCCATCATAAAAATTTTAGGCACAGATGGGGTGATGATAAAGGAAAATAAATAAGATTTAAGAATCATCCTTTGAAAAGAGTAATGAGAGCAATGATAATGATGATGATGATGACAATGGTGAGAAGATGCCAGTCATTTATAAATAACCCGTAAAACGTAACTAATCCTTACAAACTAAACTATAGAAAATTTATAAATAAGACTGAAATTAAATATACTTTCATATTTCAGTCTATTAATTGTCTTTTGTATTAACCCTACTCCCATACGCTGATTAATATTTATAGGAAGTTGATTTATTCTAGTAAGGAGAGAGGAAATAAATAATATAAAAAAGAGGAAAAACGATGATAGTCAATTGCACTTTTGACCTAGTTCCGTTTAGTGTAACTTTTTATCAGATTTATTAAATTAAAACAATTAGTTCCGTTTATAAATTTGGATAGCGTTATTAGAAAGCCCATTTGGACAGGGCAGTACCTTAATTTTCACAGTTTCTGTCCATTACAGTATAAGAGAGGCTTGGCGAATTGTCTGATAAGAGGATTCAACGTATTTGTACGGCTAATGTTATAGAGAAGGAAAACGAAATATTGATGGATATTCTTGTTGAAAACGGATATCCTTTAAAATTTCTAAACAGGTGTAGAAGTCAATTAGTTTCTAAACCTACAGTCTATACCGGCCCTAGGGAAAATGTTTTCATCAAGTAACCACATAACAAGGAAATAAACAGTAGGATTTTGAGGCAAAGGTTGAATTCGGTCGTCCGTAGGACCTATTATGCAGCTCGGCTTGTAATTGTCGAAAAAGCCAAGAATATGCGCCACTGCAAACCTCAAGAGTGCACAAGTCATTATGTCACATCCCACACTATTTACCAATTTTCGTGTGTGCATAGGGAGAAGTAATCTTGCTTTGCATGTGAGAGTGAGTGAGCATATCCCTAAATGGCTAGAAAAACAAATGAATTGTGAAAAACCAATAGATTCAGGTGTCAGACTACCAACTTTGAGATGAACCATAAGACTGATGTTAACTCAGCCCTTAAGGTCATCTATAAAAGCGGTCAAGGGCGCTTATTGAAATACGCTGAGGCTAGAGCTATTCATAAACTTAAGCCGCCCCCCACCCCCGTGTATTCAAAAACAGTTTATTAATACTCTTAACCTACCATGGGAATCTTTATTTGATTGAATTACCAAACGTTATGTTAATCATTCTTAAATCCTTAAATCTTTTTGTCACATTGTTTAATTTACCTTTTTCATATCTATCGACGTGACACGTAAATGTGTAATCAGATTATTCGAAATGTAAAGCGGAAATACATCACATTTTTTTGATAATCACCGTCTTCTTATAACGCTATCCAGATTTATTAACTGTTTCTTATATGCATGATTAACATTATAATATATTTTGGTCTCCATGATTTCCCGTTGTGATTTATTTTGCCACACAAACAGGTTTTGTAGCTCATATTTATAAAATAAAATAAATGCAGAAAATGAGGAAAAAAGCTCTTCTACTTGTAAATATCCATTGAATTGATTTATTTTTCTTAGGAAATTAAAACCGGTAATTTTTCTAAATCTGTCACTGAATGAGGTGGACTGTAATCTCTGGGTAGGCATCTTTCCTTTCGGGTGTGTAGACACCCTGTTGCTGAGAAGTGCTAGTAGACAAAAAATCTAAATGCATAGCTTCTAACTACTTCACATTAGAAAAATATGTTTCAATAAACTATTGTCAGTTATCCAGATCGAAGAGATCGGGACCTATCTCTGGTTTCGGAAGACTAAGTGTAATACATAGAACGCTTTGCATTGTAACCAACACGAAACAACGGGAAACAGTCGGATGACACGATTATTTATTCTTCAGGTGGCAACGAAACGGATTTACAGTGGTTAATAGGTGCCAAAGTTTGTAAATAAACGTTAATATAATATACAACGATACTTCTGATCGTATTTCTCCAATCGTTTGCCAATCAGTTCACGATTACGCAATAATAGCCTTCTTGTCACCTACCAGTGCAGATCAGTTCGAATAGACACATTATTCAATGTTCACCAACATCTTTTGAAAAAGGAATACACAGTATTCAAACGAGTGTAGTGACATAATAAATACAAAGTTCTAAGGGAGACAAACCGTAAAAGAATCAAAGTGGTCATTACGGCGTTCTTTCCTTCCAACCTTATTATTTGTAAACATAATCTTTGTAGACTGTTCTGTCCACTCTATTAGTCTGTTCCTTAAGTACACACACAAAGATGTCATAGCATTCAAATACGATCTGAATAAGAAACTATTGGTCGGGTCTTAGTGAATTCTGAGTTTGAATATACATTTTCCACAGGAATTCTGACGCTTCGTAATAAGCAAAAGTCCCATTAGTCAGTGAATGCAAGTATTCTTCTTAGGATGCGATAAACTGGCAGTATTCGGTGGAATTAGATTTGTTTCAATTATGGAGAAGAGGAAGAAAGAAACATTCCTGCACTATTTGAATGATATTTTCCCTCCTAGCTTATTCAGTCAGGCATTTTTTGAGTTAAACAGATGCTTCATAGATTAAGGACACTTCAGAAACATAGTATGCATTTGAAAATCTATTATGTCGGTGTTTTCAATGACTGAGATAGTTAATATTTCGCTTTGGAACCTAACCAATAGACTCAATTAAGATTACATGTGAAAGAGTTCTTTTGCCGAACAATAAAATGTACCTACAGAAATTTACAGAACAGTTTATTTAAACTATTTCATGTAATTTGGAAGCAGCCAAATACTCTACACCCGACGCTCTGAAATGCTTAACATAGTGGTAGATGTTCCCGAGCACAGTTTCGTATGTATAACTGTAAAACCTGATGATGAGGTTACAGAAAATAGTATTCTTTGTTCATAACAATTCTTTGGAAAATTGAGACTGTTAAAATTGAGAAATACAGGAAACACCAATAAAAATAGTTGAACAAATACGTTTTTTCTTGAATTATTAACTTTACTTACTTATGAACAGTTTTGTGTCCATAGTCAACCTTTGAAATTTGGTAAATTAAACACTGAATTATAGTTTTTAGATTTTAAAAATTGTTCATTTGCTTGAAATTATTCACAAGCAGATGTTTTAAGCCTCTACTTTATAGACTGTCACTTGAAATTTACCAAGCAAATAATAAATCTCAATTTTTGATTTCTCCATTGATTGATAATAACCCTTTTTTAAGTAATCTCTTTTATGAATTTGAATAGTGTTGTTAGAATATAAGTGGAATATATACATGATATATATATATATATATATTGAACACCCCTAAGACAGGAAATGTCTCATAAGAAGAGATTAGCCTAAATTAAGAGAGAAAAATAAAGGCAAAATTAATGAATCGGCTGTTATTTTTAAAGAAATTCCCTTTGTTTTAATTCCTTTTTATAATGTCTTTTTACAATAATACAATCAAAATATTGTTTCAATTCATTATATTACAATTCATCTATTCCACCTAGTGAGATTATCAAAAATGCTTCTTAATTCTAGACATAATACAGGCATTAGTTAAATATAAAATAGCCTTAATGAATTGTGAAGTGACAATAAAAAGCTGAGTTGAATTCATCTTCATATTTAATGTTTAGCTTGTTTTGACTCAGTGATGATGTGCCCCTTTTAAATTTTGCAAAATCTGTGTTATTATTTAATGTATGTATGTGTATGAACTAACACACTGAAAAAAATGTTATTATCGATACAATTTTGATAATGATAGTGATTTTCGAGCGGACAATTATGTGAGAAGATCGTTAACCGTAGTCAGTCTTAATTATTTAAAGTGAATCTTATAAAGTAGATCCACAGATGCACTCAGGATGATATTATAAGTAGCATTAATCGTTGCGACTCAACACAAACAACGTGGCTATCATGACTTCAAAAGTCTGAAGCTGTCTGTTTCACCGCATAAATTGCAAGGAATGAAGGAAATGCTACCAGGTCATCGTGAGAAGGGATATTTCTAACCTTCCAATAGTTCTCAGAAATACATGGAGTAATTGTCGCAAGAAGTTAATGCACATTTTATCTCTAAGACTGGTAATCCCTGTTAGTGTCATCCTCTGTAAATTTATTACTCAAAAGCTTGACTTTTACTTTAAGACAAAACGTTTTTTTGTTTAAACTGTCGGAAAAACACAAACTTGAGAGAAAATATTCATGAGTACATCACATAATTGACTGGACAGTTCAAATACTAATCATTACAGACGTCGTAGTTACAAAAGTAATCATATATTCACTTCAGTTTATAAACTGATTATCAGTAAAACCGGTAAACATTTTCAAAAAAATATGTTTAAGGATTACATGAAACACCTATTTCACTTATCTAACTTAATTTCAAAGTGTCCGTTTGACAGATATCAGGTTAGAAAACGAAGTGAAAGAGAATCGTCGAAAAACAGGGGGCACTGGATACATGTTTCATCCTACTTTGGAACTATTCAATAGTTTTTATCTGTGACTCCATTGTAGACCGAATCCAGGACCTTCAACTTACCAGACTAGCCTACTGACCATTCAGCTGTTTGGGCAGAATCCAAACTAGGATGAAACAGCTGTCCAGTATTCCCCGGTTTTTCAATGGTTCTCTAAGTAATTTTGTTTCGTAATGCAAATTGAGATCTGACTTAACATGAGTTAAGTATTACTGATGCTTTGTTCATAGGTATAAACAGTGACTTTTTCCTTTCAGATACGGATAGTTTAGATGAATCAAGTTTCAATAAAAGAGCTTATCACTTTTTCCGCCTGAAAAGGTCACCAAAGTGCTTCGGTATTCCAGATGAAATTAAACAAATGATAACCAGGGTAAGTTAAAATGTGTGCCATAAAAATAAAAGGTATTTTTTAACATTTTTGTTTTCATTTTGTTTCATTTAAAAATATCAGGAAAAATGTGGTATTGCAGCTGAGAGCTTCTGACACGGTTAATTACTACTACTAATAACAGTAGTATATTTAATCATTAGACAATAAATGATAATAGTTACTCGTGAAATGAGAGTCGAAAACCACCTTGATACCAGTCCCCTTAAAAGTATAACATCAACCAGAGGGATTACCTAATGAATAATTCATTTGATAATAGGTTAAGGTTTTGATTAGATATATAATTGCTAAATACCGAAAAGGATAAAATGGAAAACCCCATTGCCTCAGTGCAAACTGTAGCAAGTGATTCACTGTGTGATACATCTAATAAACAAACCAATATGGGATCACTTACTACCACAGTTTTACACATATATTAGTAGCAAGTGTTGTTTTACTTTCACTTGACGGGATACTGCACTGTACAAAATCACAGTGCATTAGACTTAACATTAATATTAAACTGTACCTAACTTCTTCATCTATCTGAATAAGGATTTTCCATGAAACTTGATGAAATATTGACACTGAATGTTTCTTATGCAAGCAAGTGAAATCAGTAGTGATTTAAATATTAACTTTAGACAGATTTAGGGTATTAAACGTGTGAGGACTGAAAGACATGTGTAGTTTGTAGACTAATGAAAATCTGGACAAGAATATTTCCGGTTGTTATGGAAAAAAGGTACCGTAGATAATACTGTCAATCTCCAATTTTCATTCAATGAGATCAGCTGAATAACCACGAATAAAAACGACAACTGGGTGCGTTTTAGTTTATCACAGCTAGTTTAACCTTATCAATAAAATCTTGTCTCTTCCTACACTTTACTGTAAGATCTGTATTAACATAATTTTCATATATATATATATATATATATATACTGAAAGTCCTAGAGAAATGCATAAATGCTTTAACCTAGGCGTAGTGACGAATTAAATCTCTGTTATCATAACTATCAAAACTGCATTCGAACGCGTGGATATTTTCGTGTAATTGAAACTTAATCAGCTGGGATCTTCTTTCATTTATGTCACAGATTTCTAATTGTTTTGAATAATTTGATCTATAGTTAAGCGATAAAAATAAATGATACTCTTGCTGAAGGGAAAAAACAAAAAGAAATATTCTTCATTTGATTTAATTTTTATGTGTGAATTAAACTGTGAACGGAAATAGTTCACTTTATTGATTGCGTGTAACATCCACTAGGAAAGTTAGGGTGGCCTATTGTAGGCATATAAAAGGCTGCATATTAGATAATAGTCCATCTGGCTCAAATCCTGAGTGCATTTCAACTCCATACGATATATGGAAATATAAATGTTTTAATGATAAAATTCTTTGTGAAGACCCTGGCTTTTCATCACAACAGTAGATTGCTCATTAAAGTTTTGACGAGAAACGATATGTGAGTATACACATATATGTACTGAGTATGTTAACGTAATCAAAAGGTATGCATGACTGATTATTATGCACCAGTGGCTGCACATATTATATTGGTATATATGGTTAGTCAAAGCAATGATTTATAAAGTAAGCCGCTTCTAAGCCAGGATCATAGAAATTGTTTAAAATTTCTTCTGCTCAGTTATCAGGGTTTACAAAACGTGTAAAACAGTCACGTTCAACCCTCGCCTTCTTTTCATTATAAAAAATCTTGTTTCTCCATAACAGTCACGTTTTAAAGATCAAAGAGTATTATCTCTTCATTATACTCACGAGTTTACCGAACTAATTCAGCATATAACTGCACCCTTTTCTAGCTTACTCTATTCATTTTCCTATATCCTAATTTACCACATCTAAGGTTATCATGAGTTTACTTTGGTACAATGCAACGGTCACAGACATTGGAGACGCATATTGCATACAAGATTATAATATTGCATCAAAATAATTTGATCAAACAAATAAAGCTATTCAAGACAAAAAATCTTATCTGCCTGGAATCGTAAATGCTGCTAAGATTGCCTATAAAGATATAAGATATACTGTTGATTGACATGTGTGATTTGTAACTATCCTTGTAAACCATCACTTCTCAGATAGATATTCTTTTCATTTTGAACCAAGGTCATTGGCAGTGTAGCAGAATTAACTGAGTATCAGAATCCGAATTAGTTACTCTGATGCGCCACATTCTCTAATGAAAATGATTAACAGTTAGTGACAGGCGTTAGCAGTATGGAGAGTAATACTAAACTATTTTTAATGCATTTTTATCAAGAATCAACATAACCTATGGAACGTTGAATTCCATCCTAGTGACTGAATGGTTGATGGACTAGTTTCCTGACCTAAATCCTGCATAATATACTGCTATTTAATCAAGGCACTCGAGGCATACTTAAATCTTCACAGTCATATTGAGGATTGGTTGAGTGTTTTATTTATTTGAACGAAACAAACTAAAACACCCGTTTACGTTTGTTAACATAAATCAGTAGTGTTATACTCAGTTAACAAATACATACTAGCCTAATGTTGCTGATAACTGATGCCATATTTTCATTGGCTTAGCCGATGAAAATTTCTGTTTTGCTTTGTGCACAAAGAGAAGTTTAGAAGCAATATACGTTTAGGATTTACAAGTATCTACTAACTACAGAGATTAAATTCAAAATGAAGTGTTTACCTCAAGTGACTAAAATTAAGTACCCATACTAATCTCTTATCTAATTAATCGTTAGTTTGCATGATTTTTATATCTTTTTATTAATTTCATATCATTGAATACCATTATATGTAAATGAGGTAAGAGACTAGTCTTTTATTAATGATTAAATTTCTTCTCCCTCTACAGGATCCTTACATCATTTGCCAAGAGGATCGAGATTTCCTGGGATTGTAACATATTTCTGATCCATGATATTACGAAAATAAAATCAGTGATATTACAAAGGAAAGCAACCAAATATTTAAATTAAAATTCAGATGGTTTTTTTTGTGTTATCTGTTGAGTAATAATAATAATAATGGCTTTATTCTAAACAAAACGTTTTGGCTTGTAGTACAATGCTGAATCTGATTTTCTCTTTCTATTATATAGTAAAGGATGAAATAATTAACTGAATATTAACACTGATCAAAATAGCCGTACAGGTAACATTCAAAAGAAATAGTAACAACGATACATTCATGAAGAAAAGAATAAAAAGAGTCATTCGCTCACTCTTTCATAGTAACTTAGGTGTTTCATTCCTACTGCTTTTCTCATCACATAAAGTGAGCACCAAGCAAGGTAACGTGGCGTTTTATATTAGGTTATCTGAGCATAATATCTTCTATAAGTGCTTCTAAACCTACCTGATGAGATGCAAAGAGAGAGTTTTTAATGAAGAGGATGATGAGATTCATATTACATAATATTCAATAATTTCTTACTTGAGTTCAAGTGTCTATCAGCAACAGTATTAAGGAGTTGGTTTGTGTACAACGCACTTACCCTGCCGATATCTTTTATATCCTTAGCAGTGTAGCCTAGTACAGATAAATGGAAGCAGTAAAAAAGAATCAGTTAAATATCAGAATTAACAAGGTTTTAAAGTAGAGAATGGGTGATACCAGACTGTTTCAGCTTAAGTAGAAGGTTAGACGAAATATATTTTTAAAAATTAGCATAGTGTGGGAAGAAAAGGAAAGGTCATAGGAATGACGTGATCCAAAGTATTTAACATTTGACTCACTTTCACTTTTAGTGATACAAGAATCATGAGGACGAAACAGTTCATGCAAATCACACTTGGATGTGAAAATGAAATTAACAATCTTGCATTTGCTGATTTAGATTTAAACCACTTGACAAGAACCACGGGCTAATATGTGACAAAAAACTATTCATTCTGGAAAAACCTGACTGACACGTTGTTGTTGATTGACATTTAGACCACATAAACACTTAACAAAACCGGCTTCATCAGACTGAGACAGGTAATGCAATAAGAATAAAATCACAACAGGAGAGATAACAGCACATTGTAGAATACCGGCTACTGATATCAAAGCCGTAGAAGACTTTCCTTTATATACAGTGTACTGCTTTCTTAAAAAATAAGAAAAAATAAGAATGCAACCATTTAATAATGCAACAACCCATTTGTCTCACAGCAAGCTTGTAACAAGTGAGGGTTAGGTAGAGAGTTAAGGGCACATATTTTGCAGCTCTGTCTAAACTAGAGACGATATTATGATGTAAGACAACAGTGGCATCTAAAGCAAATATACCATATTTGTAAGTTAATTGTTTGGATCGTTAAAAGCCTTCAATGAAGGTCAAAGATCAAGCAAAGCAGTTTTTTTACTATTTTGGGAAAATGGTTGGGTGATAGCGGCTGATCTAAACTTAACGCTTGATCCACTTGATGATTTAGGCATCGAAACAATTTTAATACGTTTCTAAGAAGTAAGTACAAAATCAGTGGGAAATGATGCATTGAAAATATCATTAGAAGAACGGCACAAAATATCTGCACGCTTTCTGAGGAGAATACCGAACACGTCATCTGGAACTAGAGATTGGGAAGATTCCAAGGACTGGAGATATTTAAGAACACTGTTTGTATTAAACAAGGAAAGAGACCATTCCTTTCACATGTCACATCGAAAATGAAAAAATGGATATTTCTCAGAGATGACAAACTGGTGAGATATATGTCCTCGAAATATAAATGTAGTTGTAGTTAGACAGGTGTTTTGGACGACATTTAAGAATAATGTACTGCATTTTTTCACCGGAGAATTTAAAGCATACATTACTTGAAGTAGATCAAGTAGAAGTGGAAGAGACTGCAATAGCACCTCCTTATTTCTTCTTACAGTCACAATGATCTCGTCTCAGTAATTTGAAATCATTGAGACAGACCAGATTATCGTCATATAGATAATAAAGCCAAGTTTCTTCATTTATTTTCACCGTACTGCTATATACACTGGGAGACAGGAGAGACTAAAGAGAGTGATGTATTAGGCAGAAAAAGTAATTTGAAGTTCTTGAATACGTTTAAAAGCATACTATCAACCACATTTATGCTTTTTCTCGAGTTTATTGAAAATTCGCGAATCAGCAGGTGGTGAACATGTTAAATGTTCCATAGCGCAAACAACGCAGTTAGATAAAACAATTTGATAGATTAAAACAACGTGAACACAAAAAATTAGATACAACATAATGGTGGATGTTTTTAGCGTCCCAAGGTTTAAGCTGTTAGCCTTAGTTAAAACTGACAACTTCTATTTTAATTTCCTTGTTTAACTAGGACCTAATGAATGGATACCTAAACGTTTTCTCTGGTTATCCTTCTAACGCTTGAAATTTTTTCCTAATTTTGTCAATATTCTTCTGCAGTAGAAAGATTTCTGGGAATGTATAATTTGGTTTCTCTTTTCTGACAACAGTCATTCAAACAGTCTTTAGTGGGTATTTTTCATACATTTCTTCATGTGTGAGTCCTAATTTAGATTTAAGTAGACACTGTAATATAGTGATCGTTTAAATAAAGATATAAAGTTCATTTACCTCAAAATCTTGAAATGAAAGCCTGAAGTTGTTTTAAAAATGATTACATGTCATTGGTTTATGTTTCAAGTTAGCCTAAACATGTTTGTAAAGGAAAGCGTGAAATGTCAATGAGCCTTAGAAGGTCATCATAGAATTGGCTACAGTTTAGAGTGAAAAGTGAGAAGATACCGTGATGTATTAATTTCTAGGTGAGAAGATCATATATATCATGTTAAAAAGTTTGAATAAAGGAAAGCAGAGTTTACACAATTTTGAAGGTTTCCTGCAGAACATTCAATATAGTAAGCTGAATTCAATATTTAAAATTGCCATAACTTGTTGAAATGGGAAATATAATCGCACAGTTACCCTTCTTAACGTTTCATTTCGATTTCGTGAACATTTGAACTTTGCCTTCATTAGTGATTTGCCCTGCATACAAAATTTTTGACGACACACTAATTACTTGCATTACATACCACTTTAGCAATTTTTGAAGAGGAATATTCTGAATAATTCACTTTATAACTACAACTCAGAATTTGGTTTATTGATCTGCTATAGTGAAATGCGTAAAACACTATTACAAACTTCACAATCGACTCCATCGACGACGAATGGAGAGATTTATTGGGGGTTGAACATTTCAATTCCTTATCAGAAATATAAACACTATGTCACAACACTTAGGTGGTACATAGTTAAATTATGTCGCATAGTAAGTAAGCAAGTCGGTTTGAGTAACTGACTGCTTGTAAAAGTACCACTGTACCGGTTAACTGTGTGAAAATATTTATACGTCAAAGTCTCTGAACCATATTTAAGCACTGATTCGACATTATTGTTAAAGATTCAAGATTAGGATCAACCAGTAAAATATTTAACTGGTGATCTAAGTGAAGTCATGCCCAGAAAAAATTAATTTATACTGTCTGACTTTTTCTGTGAAAGCTATTATATTTCTTTGTATTTACACTTCACTCGTTTTTAAATGTTTTAAATTATTGACAAAATAAAGATGCCTACATCAGTAATACAGCAGCATTGAATAAAAAAAACCACTGATATGACGCAAAACTTAACTGACACAAATTACTTACCTTATGTTCTATAGAAGTGTAGAGTTAATGAGACAAGAAGACTATAAAGTTGACATACATCCCGTGAATACAGTATGGAAACTGAATTTCACTAAAAAATATTAATTGACTACAGTTATTGTTGATTCACTTAGTGATGAGGAATATAGATCAGCAGGGTTCCTACAAGCCTAGTGGAAGTTTCATTTGAATGCGGCTAAAACTTACAATCCTTGGTAATACATAAAACAAACTAAATGATTCTCCTCACAGCCTTATACTTTTGACCGTCTTTCATTAAATCAAAACTTTTGAAAACGTATTGAATTAAAACTTCATGTAAATGGCACACAAAAGAAGAGAAATTTAAACTTCGATAATAACTGCGAAAATAAGAACAAAACTGACTACATTTTGAAAGTAAATACAAACTGGGTGTATACATTGGTTCAATTCGATACTTATCATCATTAGACAAATAAAACAAAAACATTGGTGCTGTTTATTTGTCCGTTATAACTCAGTGTTTACTTATGACCAACTAGATAACATCAATAGTCAACGTTAACTGAGCTTCTGGTTGTATTACTTGATATTTAAAGGAAACACAGGTAAATAGTGTATTCCTGAAGACAGTTGTTTCCATCGTTAAGATCAACTCATTCCTTAACACATGGCGTTGAATATTTCTCCTCTCAGATACTCAATAGGAATTCGGTAATTGTCTTCAGTAAGCAAAATTTATAAATATTGTTTAGGAAGATTTCCCAGGAAACAAAATTAATATTTGTGACGGTTGTGTCAAGTATAGTTTTGTTGATGTATCATTTTTATGTATTATGAAAGAAGAATGGTTTTATTATGCACTTTTATGATTTCACATCATTCTCCAATAATTTGTCATGCAAAGAAAATATAGTTATTTTATGGAATGTTAGTATAGTCTGATTAGTAGTCTTCTCATTGTAGATGAGTATTTTGCAAACGTGAACCTGTGAAAAGTCATTTTTGCTCTGAAAAAAGTATACAGGCTAAAAATAGTAACAACTGGTTGACTTATACCAATAACCAGTGTTGATTTACTATCCTGTGTTGAACGCTGTTCGTAAACACCGTATGTTAGCAGAAAATTGATAATGGTTTTTTATATTCATGGTAAAAAAGCACTAATGTTACAGTTTATGTACTACTATACCGAGATCTCTGTATGTGACGAGTGGCTGTAACCACCCAAACGCTTTTAGAAATTTCATACTTTTATTTCCCTTAATGAAT